CGAGGGGTGTTAGTGTTTTACGACCTTCGAGCGGGACATATTAAACATTTTCAATTGGTAGGAAATATGAATATTTTTTTCCAGGTGGCGGTCGAAGCAGATCTTTAACGTGTGCAACTTACACACGGGACCTCCGAGATTTTCACCCTTATCCTAGAAGACTAGATCTAGGTGTTAGATGCTACCTATCGTAACATCAGTGGTGTGGCTGAAAGACAGCAGTAAGGAGCCTGTAAAAAAGGCTGCAGAAAGAGTCAGGAGCCCAGAGGAGGGGGCAAAGGAAGTGAGGGGCCGAGAGGCAGAAAGTGGAGACGGAAGCAGACGACAGCAGTACAACATTTTAGACAAGAAAGGTTTCCGTCGCTGTCCGGATTCGAACCCGGGACCTATTGAATGAGAGGCGAATACCGTAAACTCTAGATCACGAGAGCCCCCTGACCCCTGACCCCTGACACTGATTTGAATCCCGGGTTCGTTGGGGAAGTTTTAAAGTTTAGTTGATCGGGCAGTTTTTAAGACTTTTTGTCTTTCTTGGCTCGATCCCACCGAAAATAGTGGTCAAATTTTCAGGTCTGGTCTCGTAAACTACGTTCCAATTTTGAAAGCGGCGTTATTTACAATTCATTATGTAATAACTCATTGGGATGCCGCATTTCTAAATCATGAAACTTACAAAACATGGAGTCAGTACATGTATAGATCTAGATCTACAAGTTTTCTTTGCACTACCAGTTCAAAATCAGCCAATTTTAAACATTTAATTGATTACACAAAATGAAATTTAAAAAACACAAAAATAAAACAACCCAACTCAAAATGGTCACATGTACCCCACGGTTTGGACAATGTCATTCACTTTCCCATAAAGAAGAAAACATCAAATAGCCTAACATTAATGTTAAAACCCATTTTGACTAGAATTGCTTGTTTTAGTGGATGACTTGACATAAACCTGGAAACTGGCAACCTTGTACGGAAATAGGAAGTAGCAGAGAGTATTTAATTATATTGTCTCTGGAAGTAGGAAGCAGAAGTAAAAAGTTTTCTCTCCGTTTTTTTTACGAACTACGAATTAGATCTAGCCTACGACACTGAGCACTGTTGTCTTCATCCAGAGTCAAGACTTTTTCGACGATCTAGAATCTAGAGTCTTGATCTAGACATAACATCTAGAAGCGGGACGTAAAAAATGATTCAAAATCCCAGTATGCGAATGGATAATTTGTTCTACAGTCTCAAAGAATTACAGAACGGTTCGTGGTCCTTATACTTATAGCTCTCAGCTTTATTGCCCTCATTTTATAATTGTAGCTTGTAATGTTTTGATTGTTTTTAAATCATTACTGTGTGGATGGCCATGCTATCATATTGGATCCTTCTTCTTGTTCTTCAAATTTCTTCACTTATTTCCTTTCCTTGTAGATTCTATCTCAACTTGAATGAACACAAGCAGCATTAGCATAGATCTAATCTAGATTAGATCTAGATCTAGATCTATCTGTCCCCGTAGGATTATGCGATTGTGCGGCCAGGTTTTTTTCGCGTAATTCTGCAACATTTGCATAATTTTGGATTCTCCGCGTTTTTTCACGTTTTTTTTTCACAAAACAGTTAATGAACGCCTCGCCGTGTGACTAAAGGGACGTAATCACCGTAATAACTTTCATTTAAGTGAAAAGTTGGCTATTTCCCTTGTTAGAAGATCTTGGTTATGGGTTGTGATTTTTTTCCTTGAGCATGTTCAATTTTACAATCCATCAAAAGTTGTCCTCATGTCTGCTGATGTTTCATGTTTGACAGGTGTCCCTGGTTTTAGTAATGTGTCAGCATCAGAGGTCCAGATGTCCTTTTTTTTGTTTTTTGAAAGATCTAGATCTAGACTAGAGATCTACAGCTGAAAGTTACAGAGATGATTTTTTTTTTGTTTTTTGTTACTGATGTGTATTGTTTTCTTTTCCAAATACACAACAAATTACTGATACTGATATGTTCTGTTTTCAATTTTTCTGTACATAAAACATGAAAATCATGAAACTTCGTGTTGAAAAAATGCAAAACTTATTGCGAATGGTGTTACGGTAACTTGCATAATTTTTGCATAATTTTGCTTTTTTTGTGCATAATTTGGCCTTGTAAATTTGCATAATTCTACGGGGACAGATCTATGCATTTACAGAACTTAAAAGGAAGATATAGATCTAGATTTAGATCTAGCTCACACACATTCTTTCAAGCATCGAACACAAATGCACTTATAATTATGCTTTCCCAGTGGATGGCCGATTTCATGTTGATGTAGGTAGACTATGTACAATTTGCCAAATATTCCTGGTCCACAGTTTCCTTTCTCTCTGTTTTATCTATCAGAAAAGGTATGTCTGGAACAAAAGCTTCATGAACAAAAGAGGACCAGACACTCACTTGAGCAAGAACTAGAGCAAGGTGCAGTGCACATTAAGTATATTATACATAGAGAGAGATCTAGATCTAGGTCTATACAATATAATTCAAGAATTTTTTTACCGCTGACAGCCACTGCAAGTATGAGATAGACCTATGAGCTGCAAGCTTTACTTTATTCTGATATTAAATTGTTTAAGTTGATTTTTGTTTAAAGTATTTATGATAGTGTATTCTTGAAATACAACTTTGAAACAAGTTAACTCTGACAGGAGAACAAAAATGTTTGTACATATTTATGACCAAGTTGTTCTGTGAGTTTTTCCGCTGCTCATCTGATTACTTTAGTTGTCATGGTGTAATCCTCCGAAGCAGTCCAGTGTAAGTGTAAGTGTAAATTCGAAGGATTTTTATAGAGTGATGGCCTTGAACTTCTGTGCCTTTCACATCCTCACTCAAGCATTGCCTATTTTGAGTGTAGCATTCCCTGAAGTACAAAGGGTTTTTTTTTATTGCTGGGAAGTCTGAAGTGGTCTGATGTGGAGATGTTCCTTTCTTTCTGTTTATTTTTTCTCTGTGCTCTTGTCTCTTTTCTGTGGGTACAGTATATATATGTCACAGTTTCATTATACAACACTGACAAAAGATCTTAGTGTTGTCAGAAGGCAACAGTTGTGCATAATTTAAGTGAATTTCATCTTTACATGTTCTTTTAATCCATTTAAGAAAAAACTATTGTATTCTGAAATGGTGTAATGCCTTCCATATTTTATATTTTCAGTGACCAGCAAATACTCGCATATCCAAGAGAAACATATGCGTATGTCAGGTAAAGGAATGATGGCTCTAAGTTGGCAGCTTCTTTCTGTCCTAAAATGTCTTTTGCCTTTTCTGTATAATTTGATGTAGCCTACCTACAAATGTATGCCTTTTCTGTATAATTTGATGTAGCCGACCTACAAATGTATGCCTTTTCTGTATAATTTGATTTAGCCGACCTACAAATGTATGCCTTTTCTGTATAATTTGATGTAGCCGACCTACAAATGTATGCCTTTTCTGTATAATTTGATGTAGCCGACCTACAAATGTATGCCTTTTCTGTATAATTTGATGTAGCCGACCTACAAATGTATGCCTTTTCTGTATAATTTGATGTAGCCTACCTACAAATGTATGCCTTTTCTGTATAATTTGATGTAGCCTACCTACAAATGTATGCCTTTTATGAGACTGAAAACTTAACTAGATTTAATATCTCTGTTAGGCTTTGTTGACAATATATATATTATAATTATAGTATTACTAATTATTACATGAAGATTATGTCATGCGTCTTGCCCCACCTCTTTTTCCCACCAGCAAACAACGATTTTGACTTTCCTTGCAGGTAGCCTATTTATCTATATTTGTATTAGTGCGGGTTTAGTTTAGTGCACGTCAACCTTGTGAAGCTATTTCAAAGGCTGGACCTATGAAATTAATATTCATCGATGATAGAACCAACCAAGTAGGTAGGAAGCCTAGAAACCTCCTCCCTCCCCCAAACAACCCAAATTCAAGAATGCCCTTTTGGGTAATTTAAGGGTTATCAGCACCGTAGCCCTATAATACGATACCAGCTGAATAAACGGCGTACCAAGGCATTTTCGTTCTTATTTCAAAGTAGTGATCAAGACCTGAGAAAAAAAAACTTTAAAGGGAACCACGTATGTACATTGTATGTGTTTTCAGAGACGCTTGCAGTGGCACAGCAAAAGGTGGAGCAGAGCATGAAAACTTTCATGAGGTAAGGGAAACAACTTATAGTTGGGACGCCATTTTTTTCTGTCATCTCGACTTATTCTTTCCCTTGAGTGATACAACTGCCCAACAGGGAAATTTCTAAGCTGTTAACCCTTACTTTGAGGAAGGAGGGGGGTCTTTTAGTAAGAATTTTACGGCACTTACAACACAACAAGGTCATATAAGTGCGGAATATTAGTGGTGTTTTTAGAGAGTAACAAACGCAAAAAAGGAGTAACGATAAAAATGATAGATATTTGACAGGAAAGAAGCTGTCCCTATAAAATGTAAATATATCTGCCTTGAGATTGTTATTGAATATTGGTTGTTGTTTGTTTTGTTTTTTTCAATTTTCAGTTGTGTTTGTGCTTAGTGGGAACCACTAGAGTAGGTTCTGTGTCTTCTTTTCTTTCTGTCTGTCTGTCCTGTATATTGTTATATTACCCTGTACGGAATGACCATTGTTTGTGAGAATTTGCTTCTTTTTACTCAAAAATGTGTGTGTGTGTGTGTGTGTGTGTGTGAGTGTGTGTGTGTGTGTGAGTGTGTGCGTGCGCACATATCGGTATGTGTGCATCATCCTATGTCAGTTGACTACCAGTAATTGCCTTGCTGTAAGTACAGATTATTTGTTCCCTTTGATATATGTTGATCCTCCACATAACTCCACCTCTGGCCAGTTCCTTTTTGTTCCTTTTTTGTCTGTACAGTTTGCAAGCTGAAATTGAGCGGAATCGACCAAAAGTCCGTGAAGCCAAAGAGGAGATTGAGTCGGAGAGGAACGCTCAGTGTCAATTACTGTGAGTGATACAACACTTACAGATGTTGCACAGTTGCACCACAGAACGCAATATATATAAGGTGTTTTCAAAACATTCAGTAGAAGCCTAAAAAGAAGATAAAAGCAAGCTGGTTTATCATTTTGGATTCCTTATCATCAAAGACGACCCCCCCCACCCTTTTTCCCCCCAAAAAAAAGAAATAATGTCACTCTGACTCGGACACCTAAATGCTATATTTTTTCCCTTTTTTGGGGAGGGGGGGGGTCGATTATTAGGTTAGGGAGTGGTATTGAAGACATAAGTTTAGAACATATCTTATTGACGGGAGATTACTTCTGATATAAAGTCCAAGAAAATTGTTTTTAATGAAATTGTTTAGAAATGTCTAAACATTGTTAGTGTAAACTTGATCCCATTTCATCTCCTTATAGCAAAGAAATGTCCTGGTCTGGTCAAATCTTGACCTTGTCTTCGGTCCTACTTTTCATAAAAAATGATATTTTAAAAATATAATAAATTATATGTGTATTGATCCTAAAAGGGTTATTTGGTTTACAATGGCAAACATAGATACATATATATATAAATACTTTATTACAAATACGTACATACATAAATACATACACAATATCATATAGTTACATAAATACACAATTGATCAATTCTTTCACTGGAGTATCTTAAGTGAAGCCCTGGTATTTCTTATGGTGTCCTATGACAGCAACAATAAACCTCCACTCAGCCCAGCCCGGCCAGTTCCCCAAAGAGGATTGTTGTTTTTGCTTAGGACTTGATCAGAACTAGAGCCCGTGGTCACTCTGTCACACTCTGTCACACTCTGTCACACTCTGTCACACTCTGTCACACTCTGTGGTGTGATGAATAACCCTTTGAGTCACTCTGTGGTGGGATGAATAACCCTTTGAGTCACACTGTGGTGGGATGAATAACCCTTTGAGTCACACTGTGGTGTGATGAATAACCCTTTGAGTCACACTGTGGTGTAATGAATAACCCTTTGAGTCACACTGTGGTGT